TCTTTTTAAGCCTAATAGAGGTATGTAGTTGGGTAACAGTTAAGTATCAACCAGCCATCTTTTATAAGGCAAATGATATATTCAAATGAGAGAGCGAAGAAATATAAGAAACTTTTATATATACTTCCGTCATAAGTGAAAAATAACAGTTATTTGATATTAGTTGTGCCTTTGTTATAATTATCCTTGTTATATGAGTTTTATTTTTGGTGTTGTTCATCAAATTTCCATTCTGTTTCCATAGCAAATTTGCTGTAATTTCCATCTTCTTAACCAGCATATGTGTGTATTTGATTTTATTCCTTGAATGTTTTTTTGCTGTGATTGGTCTGTGTATGTGTTTGTCTTTGTCTTTGAAAACAGTGTATCAGCATCCATATATTTCTTTGTTTTGTCTGACAATTGAATGTCTATGTTACATTTTTTTTTGTCTATTTCTTTCATGCAGTTTCTTTGCTGTAGACATTTGAATGATTTTTTTTTCTTCTTCTTCTTCTTCTTTTTCTTTTTCTTTTTCTTTTTCTTCTTTTTGTTTTTCTTATTCTTTTTGTTTTTGTTTTTCTTTTTCTTCTTTTTGTTTTCTTTTTCTTTTTCTTTTTCTTTTTCTTTTTCTTTTTCTTCTTCTTCTTCTTTTTCTTCTTCTTCTTCTTCTTCTTCTTCCTCTACTTGATTATTTAAAGATGTTTGTTTTTGTCTCTCTTTGTTAGTAATTGATACTAAATAAATTGATGTACATAACTGAATGCAAGGTCATTTAGCTGACATATAAGTATTACATTATTATCTGATAATATCAGTGTTAATTACACATTGTGTCATTAATTATCACTCGTACCTCTTCTACATGTCTTGAACTAATAATGATTACTTAAGATTTTGTTATTTTTTTGTTTAGGATGCACTCTTGATATTGCACATGTATAGGCCTAAGGGTGCTTGCAATTGTATATAAACTACTTCGTGTGCACACTTGAGCAGATAGCTGGTCGGCTAAAAGCGGTAATAGGCACTGATTTCGAAACGGTGAAAGTCTTGGAAGGGAAAATTTCAAAAGTAGAAAAAGAAAATTTATCCGTTCGGTTTTATTTCGTATACTTCATGGTATTGTCTCCATTATGTATTGATCATAAAAATCATGTGTAATACTGTCAACTTGATAGTATTTTTACTTTTACCATGCTCCAAAAATAAATATATTTTTTGGGATGAATGTAATTGATATTTTTCTGTAACATTTCTACAGTTTCTTTTGCACTCATTGTCGTGTGTGTCTGCATGGGTTCACTGTAATAGAAATGATCAATTCTACTTTTGTTTCTAATTTCTTTCCTTCGTCTTAATTATAATGCTAACTGTAATTATAATTTATTTCCTCTCTCCCTAATGCTAATCCCAGACCTAATTTTATACATAATTGCAATCACCCATTCCCAATCTCTGTCATAATTCATATTTCCTTCTCTGTCCCAATCCCTCGCGTGATTTGGATTTCGCTCCCTCATCCCCAGTTCTAATTGCAAACCTAATCTTCTTCCTCTTCCTAAATGACCCAGTACTTCAACATTCAACATTCCCAACTTGTATCTGTAACTTCTTTCCCTCATCCAGATTACGATTGTTATTTCTTTCCCGCATACTAATCTTTCACGTTCACCCGTCTTTCTATTCGAATCCAAACTTTCCTTTACTCATAATCCCAATCTTCCCATTCCTCTTCACAGACAAAATTCTTGTTTCCTTCCAAAGTCCATTTTTAATTCTGATTTTTTTTTTTCTCATCCTAGATCCCAATCCTTCTCTCCGCATCGCAGTCTCAGTTACGGTCCTACTCTCTTTCCCTTCTCCTCCCAGTCCTCATCTCAGACATATTTCCGACTCCCTTGAACCTACCAAGTACATTTGAATTTTTTATTTCTTTCCTCTCCTCTTTCCTCTCCTCCCAGATCTCGCTCCCAGTCTACAAGGGCTAATCTCAGTCATGAGTTCGATTTCCCTCCACATTGCTATCTGAGTTACGGTCCTACTCTCTTTCCTTTCTCCTTCCAGTCCTCATCTCAGACATATTTCCAACTCCCTTGAACCTCCCAAGTCCATTTGTATTTTTTATTTCTTTCCTCTCCTCCCAGATCTCACTCCTAGTCTACCAGTGTGTATCTCAGACATAGGTTAGATTTCCCTCCACATAGCAGTCTCAGTTACAGCTGTACTTTCTTTCCTTTCTTTCAGCCGTCTTGGTGAAAGCGCGAGGCTTTTGCAAGGTGAACTTCTTGGGCAGCATGAATGAGGAGACATACATGCAGGAAACTGTGACTGTGTGGTGCGGCAGCAGTAAGTGAACGAAAGCATGTGAAGTGAGATTTTTTCTTTATTTGTTAAATTTTTTTCTTCTCCTTTCTTCTTTCTTTATCGTGTTCTTCTACCTTTATGATTTCTTTCTTTTTCACTTTCTTTTTTTTTTCTTTGTTTTCTTTTTATTTTATTTTCCTTCTTTATTGTCATTATCTCCTCCTCCTGCTCTTACTTAAAAACGAGCTTTGGAACGAAAAGGTGAATAGTAAGAACAAATAAATGAAAGACAGACTCAGAAACTAATAATATTAGCCTCTAAAGGACAGTGTTCAGAGGATTTGCATGTACAGTAAAATAGCTTTTGCCTTTTTGAAGATCACAATGCCATGTCGAGTATTCCTTTAGAGCAAAAAAGGAGGCAGTTAGAATTGATAATGATAATAATTAGGATAATGATAATAATAATGAAAAGGATATCATTGATGATAATAATGATAGTAATGATAATATTGATAATAATAATAACTGTAATATTTATAATGAATAGTAACAGTTAGAATAATAATATTGATAATAGTTATAATGATAATAGTAATAATAATAATAATAGTAATAATAATAATAATGATAAAAAAATATATAAAGATGAATGTTATAATTAAAGAGTAATTGATAATTAAGTTTAGGCAATTTTGAGAACAGAATATGAAGTTAGATGTAAGGTTGAAGAATGATATAAATGTATCACCCAAATTATAAGCAGTTTTAGGCAATAATTTTTGTTTTGTGCGTTAGGCTGACAATAGAACTTTAATGGTTTACTACCAGGTATCATGTATATTTACAACATTTAACTCACTGTTTCTTCTAATGAAAAAAAAAAAAAAAAACTAATGAGAAAATAGTGAAGTCTAATTCCATTTTACTATACACTGAGAATGAACACACATCCTCCACCCCTTTTCCAAACAGGTCAGGGCGAAAACCTCCAGCCGGGCACACACATGTTCCCCTTCCGGTTTAAGGTGCCCCAAAATGTACCCAGCAGCTTTGAGAGTGAGTACGGCCACATCCGTTACATGGTGGAGGCCATGGCAGAGATCCCCTGGGGCGAGAATGTGACCACGCAGAAGGATTTTAAGGTGGATAGCAGATACGACCTCATTCAAGACGAGGATGCATCAGTAAGGAGGGGACTGTTGTTTGTGAATAGACAAATAATTCTCAGTCTTACAGTGTCAGCTCTTTAAGGCTTTCGTGATAAGGCAATGGATCAGGATGTCATTTTGAATAGAAATTTATCAATATCTTTTTTTTTCTCTCCCCGTGCTCCTTACTCCCACACCGCCTTTCATCCATCTTATCCTCCCCTCGCCCATCCCATCATCCATCCATCCGTCCATTCATCCATTCATCCATCCTCACCCTTCCTCATCATTCTCTCCTAATTCTTATCCTGCCATCTACAGTTGCCACTAAGGTTCGTCAAGGAAGAGAGTGTGTGCTGTTGCTGCTGCGAACAAGGCCCTGTTAACATAGCCCTGTCAGCCGAGAAGACCGGCTACATCCCCGGGGAATACATCCTGCTTACCGGGGAAGTGACTAATCGTGCAGGATGGCATATAGAGAACTCTGTCATTAAGCTCATTCAGGTTAGTTATTGTAATTATTCAAATTCTCTTTCCCTTCATGTTGATTCTTTAATGTTATTGAATTTAATTTTCTTAGCAAGTGGACCCATGACTGGCTGAAAATTGAAAGAATATCAGACCTAAGACAGACAGGAAATGGAGTGTTGCTATAGAAAATAAAAATCTTTGAATATATCAAAGTGTGGGAAGGGTGCAGTGATCACTAATCTCTTACTGCACACCTATAGCCGTCATAAAAACCCAACTCATCATAACGGGTGCGGCTATAGGCATGCGCTAGAGTGGATCCAGTGGGTTAATTGTGTGTATACATAGATAACTCCATAAGTGCTTAGTCACCAAGGAGTGAACTTTGGGATGTTTTGTTTACCTCCTCCATGCAGGTGAATTCGAGGTCCAGAATAGTTTATTAGTTGGAATTTTGAGAAATTGGTTTAGGTAGAAGTCCTTTCTCATCTCTGTGTATTTTCCCCAAATTTAATTTTCCTTGCTTCCAGTCCAGTGAAAGGAAAGTTAACATCACCTAGTCTTCTAATACTTTGTGTTCCACTGACAGTTTTTAATGATATTTAAAGCTTTGCTGAACAAAGCTACTGTTAACCCATTCGCCACGGATTTATGTTCTGTCCCCTGTTGGTTTTGGTGAATTTTGCTACCTACAGATGGCTCCACATGTACTCAGCCGGCAAGGAGTCTATCAGTAGGCCCTAGTTACCGACCCTGATTTTCCCATTCATTGAATTGGTGGAAAAATTAATATCATTGCTTTTGATGCTGTTATTATTGTTACTGATGTTATGATGATTGAATTGTCATTAGAATATTTTTGACAATAAGATGATACAAAAAACCCTTTCCGAAAGTGAAGGAAAAGGTTAAACAGGTGAAATAGGTAGTTCTTGATAACTGGCTTTTTGGTGATTAAGAACTTGTAGAGCCATCTATGTGTAAATACAATAAATAAACGTGTATCAAAGTGGGTATGGCATCTATTCTTGCCATCTGCGGCGAATGGGTTAAGGTAGATATTCTACATCAAATAACATTCATTTTTGTGAG